TCTTTCCCCTTCTCCCGCGAAGACCTATTACCCTGTCATAGGGGCATCCAGAGTCGACAATTCTACTCTTCAACGGCTTTTGATATGTTCTAGTCCTCCATGATCACGTCAACTAGTTTTCAACGATGAGGAACAGGAGCACACCTACCATAGGCCGATGGTCGAGGCGGAGATGTTCTGTCCGTCTGGGAGTATAAGAAGCTGTTGTCCGCGTGTCCCATACTCCTTCGACCCCTCCCTCCACCTACAAGAATCATCAGAACATGAGGCAAGAAAGGAGGAGGAGCTGCAGGTGGTGGTGGTGGAGGAGGAGGAGGAGGAGGAGGGTATAGGGAAGAGGAAGAGGCTGAGGAGAGAGAAAACAAGGAGGAAGGAAGGGAGGTAGAGGAGGTAGGGGAAGTGGAGGAGGAGCGTAAGCGTCGGGTGGAACCTGTGCGATGCCTTTCCAAACTGACGCATCCTTGGTCTGAGCAAGGGAGGTGAGAGGGAGGAATGGAAGAGAAGGACTGACCTCCTTCCAGTACATGTACGCCAGCGAAGACTTCGTTCCTGCGCCATCCGCATGCATGATGTTGCAGTACTCTACATGCTCACGTCAGAATGTGACCCTCCCTCTCCTCCTCTCCTCAGAGCACAGAGACTCCACTTCTTCCTCTCCTACCTGGATCGCCAGCCAGAAGGTCGGGAATGATCTTGCAGAACGCACGGGGGAACAATCCTTTGTCGACCTGAGAAGGAGGAGGAGGGAGGGGAGAATATGAGCGCAGCGATCGAGAGAAGAAGCATGTCCTACATTCTTGATAGCGTTGTGCACGTCTTCCTTGCTCGCCGAGACTCCTCGGGCCATGTACCTGACGAATCGCATTCCGTCAACCCACGAATCCCTGCCTCGACCTTCCTGCCCCTTGTTGTCCTCGTTCCCCTCCCCTTCCCTTCACTTGTCAAACTTGTTCCTCCTCCGAGATAAACCTCCCTCATGATCTCCACGACTCATAGCCAATGGGCAACATTCCGCTCTCCCTTCTTTCTAATCTTCTACCTTGCTTTCCCGTATCCGTTCCATCACGTTAGATTCGTTGAACCTCCTCTTTCTCCACACCAGCTCATTCCAACAGCCTGCAATCTCATCTTTGTGTTCCTATGATTCATCGACTTTATGACCACATATATCACTACTATGAATCTCCATGTCTCTTCGCATCCTTTCCACTCCAGCGCTTTTCTTACCCAGTCTATCCCACATGACCACCTCCACAACATCCTGTTCTCTCTCTACATCCTTCGCTCCTTCCTTCTTTTCCTCTGCTGCACTCTCACCCTCTTCATTTTATCCACGTGATATCTTCGCTCTTCTCCTCTCTCTCCTCCTCCATCGCCGCCGCCGCCGCCTCTTCATCTTACCTGCCGGCGTCCGCCATACTTGCAGTCCAAGGAGGTGCATCGATCACCCCCTACCTACACTTTATTCATTGTACCCCCAGTAGCATTATTACACCCCTTATTTTTACCTTCAAATGAGGGAAAAGGTACCCGTATTTTACCTTCGGATTTCACATGACCCTCCCCAATGAAATCCTTACCCCCTCTTTTCCCATCTAACATCCTGGTAGAAATGGTTTACTCTAATCATTCTTTTGCACATTGGCGTCCAAAATGTTTTCTTTTATTGATCGCAGATCTACTATTGAATTTTATTATCATATAAATATATATAACATAAACTAACTTTAATTTGATAGTTTTAATGTGATAAATAAATTTTAATACATAATTGGTACAGTTGTATATGTGTAAAACTCTGCCAACTTTAAATACAATGATCGGGGACCGCTTCCCCCCACAGATCCCCAAGAGATCTTCACCCCCAGATATTCCCTTCTTTTCCCCTGAAATTGTAGGGTGGGGTCATAGCACGTGCCCTCAAATAAAACCTTTAGAAATAAAAAAAGCCCACCCATAGAGTGTTTGCCCAACCCCTATTCATTACACCCCACCCCCTGAAATTCCTTATATGTAGACTTCTAGTACCCCTCCTCTGATAGAAACTATTTTCCACCCCCACCCACTCCACCCCGTACAGTAGTTCCCCACCCCTCGTTGATGAAATTGATTTAGTTCAACAATACGTTTAGTTTAGTTTAGTTTTGGTTCAGTTCGCCTCCTCCTCACCATGGCGGAAGGACCAGAGCAAGTACGTCTCCTCCTCCTCCTCCTCCTCCTCCTCCGATCTTTCTCTTGCTTATCTTATGCATGAATCTCTTCCCTCTCCTTGCTCTAGTTCCTGATCCTCGATCGATCAATCGTTTCAACGATCCCTCCTGTAATCTGGATCCGCTCAATCCTGTTCCTGTTTTGATTGTTCGCTCCTCTTCGACCAAGTTCCTCTTAGATACAAGACATTCCACAATGATAACTCATGTCTGGTCTAATATCGCTGATCTCTCGCTGATCTCTCGCACATCCTGCGGATTTCTGCCCACTACTCGTGAGGGAGGCGCTGCATCCTTGCTGAGTTTCGGATCAGGTGAAGCATGTACGGGCGGAGCAGGATGGAGCTCTGGCAGAGGTTGTGTCGAAGAGCCTTGGGGCAAGCATGCAGCATGCGACGGAGCTCATCCGTCTCGGGGCAGTTTACGTCGACCGAGTACGAGCGACGATGGACGGGGAGGAGGAGGTGTTGGTCAAGAAAGACGCCTATGTCCGGATCCACTCGAGGTCAGTACGAGGGGAGTGAGGGGAGCACGCGGTGAACGAGAAAGAGAGGGTGGGGGATGGAGCAGGGAGGAGGGGTGGAGACTGCAGGTCATGACAAGAGACTCAGTCCCAGGAGGTTTCATGTAGCGCGGGAGGTGGACTGGAGGAAAAGGATCGTCAAGGAGCATGAGGATTATGTGGTCGTCAACAAGCCGGGGGGGTACCCGTGCATGCTTCCCTTGACAATCGGCTCGAGACCGTCTGCTCCTGCGCCGCTCGGGTCCTTGGCTGCCGTGAGCTGACAGCCATGCATCGGTGGGAGGCGCCTGAAGCTGCGGGCGACTGAGGAGGTGAGCACAGGTTGGACGTGCCCACCCACGGGCTGCTCGTGCTGGGGAAGCGCTCGGAGTTTGTCTCACGGTTCAACCGGCTGCTGCGAGAACATCAGGTGTCCAAGGTTGGCCCTCGTCCCCGCCCCTCTCTGCTAGTGACCCTGCCGCCAGGAGTACAAGGCCCTGGTGCTGGGCCATCCTCCCCTCGGAGAGCTGGTGCACTACATGGAGCCGTCAAAGAGGTCGCCCAAGGTGAGGGCGAGTCTGGATGCTGCGTGTGCTGGACGGGACGGAGTTGGATCCTCAGGTGCTGGACACAGCGGCCAGGGAGGGATGGTTGGAGTGCAGGCTCGTCGTCAAGGTAGGAAGCTCTGCCCGACAGCAGAGACCTGACGGCGAAGTAGTCGGCGAGTAGGAGGGAGACTGCGAGCCTGTCGGAGCGAGCGGCCTCTGTCTTGCAACAACAGGTGAGAAGGAGGGCCTGCTGCGGAGAACATTTCCAACGATAGCACAGAGCAGAGTTAGGGATGAGAAGCAGGCAGATGCTGAGGAGGATAAATCGCCCTTGGAGGTCTACGAGGTCGCTGGAATCTGCTGAGAGCATGTTCTCAACCCCTCTCCTCAGGTTCGCATCGAACTCATCACAGGACGGACCCATCAGATCCGAGCCCAGGTCCCCCTCCTCTCCTGCTTGTCAGCGGCCTCCCCTGCTATCATGCGAACCCCACCCCACCCCTGTGCTGACGATCTGCCTTCTATCCTATCCTGCTTCACTGAATGATATTCCTCCTCCTCCTCCTCCTCCTCCATCACTTTACCTTGACTTGGTCGTAACGGTTGAACAGATGGCCTTTGCTGGCTGCCCAGTCGTAGGGGATGAGATGTACGGAATTGGCGGAAGCAGTGGCGATCTACTGCAAGAGGAGACAAGGAGGGAGTTCAGCATGGACGTAGAGGCGAAGACTAGGGCGAGGACGATGGAGGCAAGTGCGAGGGAGGGTAGACCAAACTACATGACATGCAGGACAGGCTGAAGGCACCCTGGCACTGCAAGCATGTCGCCTTGTCCTGCCGGACATGATGGGCAAGGGCGTGTCAGAAGAGCGGGGGGATTCGAAGAGGAGGAAGTGCGAGAGATCGGAGGACAAGGACGCGAAGCCCGATGGGGAAGCGGAGGAAGGCACGAGGTTCACTTCCTCTTCTCTTGAGTCGCTCCCTCTTCTCTGAACCCGACGAACAGGTCCCCGTCCTTGTCAGGCCAGCAGATCTTTGAGTTGAAGTTGGCATGGTGGGATCAAGAGAAGTTGCAAGAATGAGGACATGTTGCCTACTCCTGTACATACACTTGTATTTTGCTGCTCTTGCCTAGATGGTCTTGTTACTTTTCTCTGCCTCCTCCTTCCTTACCTTGCATTGTTTACAGGCCTCCTGCTCATAGTCTGTCCAGTTGAACTGCAAGGGGTTGAGCATAGAGCGAGCAAGTAACAACTGACTCACGAGTTTCTTCAGACAGTTGCAACAATACTCCTCGTGATGATCGAAACCATCAGCACCGCAAACCTGAGGGTCATCTAGAAGAAGAGGGCGTCATCGTTCATTGGTTGTATGTTCACACTCTCCTCATCCTCTAAACATCATTACTATCACCACCACCACCGCAGTAAAAAGTGATTGTCGTCGTAGTCATCGTCTTCCTCTTCCTCTCCCACCACCACCTCCACCACCTCCACCACCTCCACCACCTCCACCACAACCTCCTCCTCCTCCTCCTCCTCCTCCTCCTCCTCCTCCTCCTCTGCTCCTCCTCCTCCGCTCCTCCTCCTCCTCCTCCTCCTCCTCCTCCTCCTCCTCCTCCTCCTCCTCCTCCTCCTCCTCCTCCTCCTCCTCCTCCTCTGTGGTTTAGCCCAGGTTGATGGTCG